GGAATCTAGAGACAGAAATTCTATGTTTTAGATTCAGTATAATTAAGTAATAATGAAAATAAAAACATTGCTTCCAGTAAGCCCTTTTGAGTGAAATCACAAAACAAACATACAATAGTAACCCATTATGTGTGATATTCATAACAAGTGTGAATAAAATCAGCCCAGGCATGTCTGAGAAACAGATGATGATATGTTAACGTTTTGTTTTGGGGTGATTTTGGAGACAAAAATGACCACCAGTCAATTAAAGGTCTTAAAAAAAAAATACAACTGTATATACATGCATTTGTAGTGTGTTGTCTTTGTACTTCCTTCAAACAAAATCAGTCCATGTATGACTGAAAAATAACATCAGATATAGAGAATCCAAAACATACATGTAAATCCCTGTTTTGAACTGCCTCTGATGGGGCTTAAAAAAGTACCAGTATGTGAATAAATTAAAAAAAATTTAGGGCTCAAATGTGGCCATGAACTTGACTAAAACAATTGCCTCCTTTGATCAATCATTGTCAGGTTCTCTTCATTTTGCCTCTCTGGGTTGATGAGAATTTGTTACTCCTCATTTCACCGCCTTGATATACAGCCAAGTTTGCTAAAATGGCATGTAGGTAATTCAAAGTGTTTTACAGTATGTGTTTTTCTCTCATTAGGTTGATGAGTTGTTATCCACTAAAGCTTCATTACTTACAGAGCTACTACAGATCAATATGCCGCAAGGTGTCAGTGTGAAAATTCAAGAGGTCAGTAAACTTACAAATGTCTGTTCACGTATTCGTCTGGCTTGATCTCAGATGAAATAAATTCTGTTATGTTGTGAATGAGTCAATAAAAGTATGGAATTAATATCGCGAAAAAGAAATATTCGGGAGTAAGTAAAAATCATGAAATTTACCGGTCACTGTTAGCATAGTGGTTGTCGCATCAGACTCATGATTGGTAGATCCAAGTTCAAATCCTTCCTTAGGCTGAACATCTAAAGGGTCGACCCATACCCAGGGTGGGGGTGCCACAGACTCAATGGGAAGGCCAATTCCACTGGCCGAGATTCATTCACTATTGAATGTGACTTTAGATGAATCTTGGTTAAGGTCCGCAGGTGCTTGTGTTTGACTGAGCCTGGTTGACGCCAGGATAGAGCTTTAAATTTTATAGTGTACAAGATGGCCACACAGCCCTGTCATGTAGTCTATATGAATATGAATATGACTTCTGTGTCAAAAATGCACCATGTGTCAAATCTAGCACTTGCAATTTGTACATACAAAAAAAAAGTCAGGAGAGACAACAGTTACATTCAATGTCCAACACTGTCGTCTGGCACAAAAACATTTTAAGAAAAAAAAAATCAAAAATTTTTGAAGCAGAGGTAAATGGTCTGCAGTAGTAACTGATGTCTTGTCATTTGATTCTTTGTTTCCATTTCAGCACACTGAAGAACACTACCAGGACAGATTTCTTCCAAGGGAAGTTCCAGACTTCTTGCTCAAATGAGGTACTGCAGCTTTAGATATGAGGACCTTTCCTATCATGGTGTGTGTTTGTGGGTCAACTACTCCAGTATACATCATGACTGAAGTTCACCAACTTTGTTGAGAGATTATATCTAATTTGATTGTTTTTAATTAAGCAATATTATTATAAAAAATTTGTTTTAATATACTGAATAAATTCATGATTGAAAACATATTCTGTTTTAATGTGACTGCATTTGTAAGAGAGCAAAGAATTTACTGTACATAAAATTATAGACTCAAGGCCACTGTTTTTTTGTTGGTTACCATGCTCATTTATAAACATCATTTTGTTTCCTAGAAATATGCTGTTTATATTGTCTTGCTATCAATGGAACGGGCATCTCATTCATATTCATGTACATGTATATATATATATATGAATGTTCTTCAAAATATTCATGTCAAATAAGCAACAGTTATCCAATTATCCATATGAAAATTTCTGCTTACAACTCTTTCAAGGGGGATTTGGATTATAACATAACTTACATCCTACCTAAAGCAAATAAACTTTGTTTTGTGTTTAGTGCTGAGCTCTTTTGTTAAATACAGCACCAAATATTCTGTTGGTGTCCAGAGAAGGAACAGCCAGCACGCACACAGGGAAAACTTGGATTATTAACATGTAATATTAGGTTTTCAGGGCTGGTGAGTACAAAAAAAGTACACTAAATGAACCAAAATACATAGATACATACCAATGCAGAATTTGATTTGTAAGTAATTAACAACAAATGTTCGGCAAAACTTGAGTTACCCAACTCAAATAAAATCCCAAACTTGCAAGAAAGAGTTAAAGTGAACGTTTGTACAGGTTATGAGAAAATATGTAGGGGCTGGGCATGTTGAAAAAAAAGCAAAATAAAATTATAGTGTCGCCCCCTATTGACAATGTTCAGAAAACACAAAGCAAAAGTATTTACTTAGCAGCTCACAAGAGGGCGTATTTCTAACGTGGCCCCCGTAAACACAAAATGGATGCACACACAAGCTCAACGTGCGACATGGACGAACTAGTCGAGTTACGTCGCAATCTCGAAGAAAAATCGTTAGAAGTTGACAGGCTTCGTCAGAAACTAAAGCTATACGAGGTAATATTTTAATTTAAATTTTCGAAATCTGTTCTATTTTGAATCGATGCATTACATTTTAACATAATCTCATTTTCACCCGGTATTTTTCAAACCAAGTTATCTCCAAGTACTGCAATATCGGCATTGAGTGAGAACATATAAATGTGTGTACATTAGTTTATTACTAGGTTATGTATGTATTGGCTCCTTTAATAATCTGTGACCCCCGGGGGCATTACATAGAACTTGCCTAAAGGGGAAGTGCCCCTGAAATGGGACTCGTTTTTTGGATTTTAGGTAACAGTAGGATAGGATAGGATATTTTATTTGGAACGTACACAAAAAACAATGCTTGAGTAAAGTCCAACGTAAGAAACATACAGTATCACAACTAATCTAAAATAATTTTAAAATCTGAAAAACAAAATTAGCTAAAATACTACAAATATATTTGTCTACACTAGAGAAAACATTAATAAACAATTCTCCATTTGGTAATGTTTGATAGTCAGGTGAGTATTTGAACAATGTATAGAGGAATTTTTTTCTGTGTTCTGAAAAACTGTCACAATGAAAAAAGTAATGTTTTTCATCACCCACATCCTTAGAGTCACATTTGTTACATACCCTGTCAATTTTATTTATTCCCCTGTGACGGCCTATTTCAATTGGCAAGAAGTGGGCTGAAATACGAAATTTGGTTAATGCTACTCTGTGTTTTTGTTTTATATCATCCAAGTATTTTTCAAATTTATAATTATTTTTGAATGTTTTATAAGTACTTAGTTTATTATGACCAGTTTTGTTCAACTGACTTTCCACATTTGTTGAGTAAATTTGGTTTAACCTTTCTTTAAACAGATTGCAAAAATTTGCCTGATTAGTATCCGTGTTTGTAACAGTATCAGTCTTATTTCTGGTCAAGTTAGGTATAAATATCGGTAATATTTTTCCGATTTGGTATACTTGTGTAAGTGACAGAGGTGTTTCTATGGTCAAAGTACATATTTTAATAAATTAATATACAATGCAACTGTTGGCTTACATGTGCTTCTATTGGAGATGCTCTACTAATAGAGCAAATACGGAAATTGTTTTATTTGGAATAAACAGTGTTGACAGAAATGGTACTTTGGTATAAATATGGTCACACTTTTGAGCACTCAGGGGCACCTCCCTACTCAGCTATGTATCAACTGCCTCCCCCGGGTCTGTGACGCCAAAAATTAATAATATGGTGTAGAATTCGGGTTTGTAAGACACTCATCATGATAGGTACATCATTTTTCTGGGTGGGTGGACGTCTGTATTGTGTGAGGGTTTTCGGCATGGTTTGGGGTTTGAAATGTGTTGTATGTTTTACAAGGAAACAGTACAAGCCGCTTGTAACATTGGAATAATATTTGATGACACCCTTCAGTACAGAAAACATATCACCACTACAAGTATTTACATGCACATCCGACGTATTGGACACATCCGACAGTATCTATCCACTGAAACCTGTTTCGAATTAGTATGTTCCATCCTTGTTGCTAAACTGGACTATTGCAATGCCTTACTATATGGCTTACCCGACACACAAATACATCTCCTTTAAAGGGCACAGAATTGTGCTGTCCATTTCATCACACGTTCAAAGAAGTTCAACTATATTACCCCTGTTCTACATCAATTACATTGGCTCCCAGTTATTTACAGAATTCAATTCAAGATCACTACTCACATACAAAGTACTTCATGGATTAACACCAACCTACATATCTTGATTCAACTCCGTCAACTTGGTAGAACTCTTTGTTCAAGTAATACATGTACAAATTCAGAACCAGACTCAAGACATATGGCGATCACTCATTCTCACATGCTTCTCCGTCATTATGGAATCAGTCACCAACAGACATTCGTTCTGCAGCCAGTTTAAACATTTTCAAATCTAAACTCAAAATTTTTATGTTTCAGAGAGCATTTCTGTGAACTGACAGCGTCATTGGGCATCATCGTGACGGATATTAGCTAAGGCGCTATACAAACTCTTGATTATATTATTATTATTAAATATATATATTGTCTCATTCTATTCATAGGAACATGATAAAAGGCACAAGGCTATGCTTGATTGTGAATTAATCAATGATAATAATCTGCATACTATTCCACATTTATCTGTGATTTCTAAACTAGAAAACTCATCAATCGCGAGACACAGTAGACAACTGATTTTACCTGAAATTGGTGTTAAAGGTACTGTATTTCAATATCATTCATTTCCTTGCTGAGTTCACAAAGCCTTTAGTTGTTGTACCTGTTTGCCTTGCATAATACTAGTAGTTTATTCACAATTTCAATTACTGTATTTGGGGTCTGTGATTTGACCATTAATAATTATTTCTTGAGGTTGCTGAATTGTTAAAAAAAAAAAATTACATTTTTGATAAGTCAAATATCATAGAATGAGTTTCCGTCAGTGATAATGTAATTGCAGATAATTAAAAATGGTATTGGAAGTAATTTCAAATAAAACAATGTATGTACACTGAGGACATTAATATGTAAATAGTTTGAATAAACTTCAAGATTGAGATCATCGGAATGTGGCTACGGTTTTTGCTCTAAGTGGTTTAATGTTAGAGGAAAATAAATTATTGCAAAAATTATAAAAATATTCATATACATTTGGTTCATATATAGGTCATCTAGAAGAAAATAACAAATTATTGTGGTTTTAAATTTATAGAAGAATTATGTGTGCCTTCTATCACATTTCAATTTTTGTGTTTATATTTATATACAACACGCATATACATTTATGATCTGACATTTTCCAGGACAGATATCCATTGCTAATACGTCAGTATTAATAGTTGGAGCCGGTGGATTAGGATGTCCTTCTGCCATTTATCTAGCTGCTGCTGGTATTGGTAAGATATTCATATTTTTTTAAACTGATCTATTTTTACTTTTTTATTGATGTTTGATCACTGTATTATGAAGGTATGATTTTGTATGCAACTGTTAAATGTGATCACCATGGTGATGTATGTTTTGTGTTCCTGTTCAGGTTTGTATCTATCTGCACTTTTAATTGTTCTCTAAGTATCGGTATATTGTTAACTCTGGTTTTCCATTCACTTATATAGTATGATGTATATAATGTATGTGTTGACTTTTGTAGTAAAATATATGAAACATTTTTTTTATATGCATTGTGACTTCTTTCTATGCAATGCAGTATGTCTTTGTATGCAATGTGACATGTCTTTGTATGCAATGCAATATGTCTTTGGCAATTCGTCATGTTTTTGTAAGCAATGTGACATGTCTTTGTGTGCAATGTTACATGTTTTTGTATGCAAAGCGACATGACTTTGTGTGCATTGTGACATGTCTGTATGCAATGCAACATGTCTTTGTATGCAATTCGTCATGTCTTTGTATGCAATGTGTCATGTCTTTGTATGCAATGTGACATGTCTTTGTACGCAATGCGACATGTCTTTGTATGCATTGTGGCATCTTTCTAAGCAATGTGTCATGTCTTTGTATGCAATGCGTCATGTCTTTGTGTGCAATGCGACATGTCTTTGTATGCAATGCGACATGTCTTTGTATGCAATGAGAAACGTCTTTGTGTGCAATGTGACATGTTTTTGTATGCAAAGCAACATGTTTTTGTATGCAATGTGACATGTATGTATGCAATGCGACATGTCTTTGTGTGCAATGCGACATGTCTTTGTGTGCAATGCGACATGTCTTTGTATGCAATGCAACATGTCTTTGTATGCAATGCAACATGTCTTTGTATGCAATGTGTCATGTCTTTGTATGCAATGTGACATGTCTTTGTGTGCAATGTGACTCGTCTTTTTGTGCAATGTGACTCGTCTTTGTATGCAATATGACACGTCTTTGTAGGCAATGTGACATGTCTTTGTGTGCAATGCAACATGTCTGTATGCAATGTGAAACGTCTTTTGTATGCAATGTGACATGTCTGTATGCAATGCGACATGTCTGTATGCAATGTGACATGTCTTTGTGTGTAATGTGACAAGTTTCTGTATGCAAAGCGACGTGTCTTTGTATGTAATGTGACATGTCTTTGTGTGTAATGTGACATGTTTCTGTATGCAAAGCGACATGTCTTTGTATGTAATGTGACATGTTTCTGTATGCAAAGCGACATGTCTTTGTATGCAATGTGACATGTCTTTGTGTGCAATGTGACATGTCTTTGTATGCAATGTGACATGTCTTTGTATGCAATGTAACATATATTTTTAAATACTATGAGGTTATTACGAGGATATTTAAAAATTCACTACGTTCAATTACCCACCATGGACTCCGGTCAGTCAAAATGACTATTTTGAACTGTAGGCATTAATCAGCGATTCTGCCGGTGACGGAGAGATAGAATCTAGGTCAGGGGAAGCCCCATGACCCCAAGATTCTTTTACCCCTTACGTCACGAACCCACGTGACCGAGGCCACATGGCAGCGCCATAGACGGCCGTACAATCACTCTTCTTTCATCTCCGCCTCGTCGGGAATGATTCTCAGCGGCTCTGCCTGGCTCGTTTGCTTTTTCTAGCGTGGGTCATTGCTGCAGCCGCGGCATCCGACATTCTAGCTGGTAGGATAAGTTTTTCTTGTCCTTTATCCTTGTGTCGTTTTCCCCTTTGTGTGTTATGCTTTTCCACAAATTAAAACCCAGCGCCACCACGTAACCACTTGTTGGTTTCATGGCGGCACCTTTTACAACTGTATTTCGTTTCCCTCATGCATGTCATCTTTTATTTACAATGTATTTAGAAATGGATAGATGCACTGGCAACGTCAGAAGCTCGCCGGTGGTATTATCCCTCAGTTTTTGAGGCGGGTCTGCAACCATTGTACACAGAACTTGCAGGACTGGAACCCACATGCTAAATGCTACCGATATTACTTGTGTACAGGGTTCGGGCGTCTGCCCAGAGAATATTTGCAATCACTGGGGTTCTGAAGCCTGGGATTCTTTGCAGCAGTTTGTAAAGATTGCCAAGAGTGACTGGGTTGCTCGCTCGCACAAAGGTCGCGTGGCAGGTGGAACCAGCATAGATATGGGTGAGTTGTGCGTTGGCATGAGTCAGAAGTCCTCGCGCTGTGCCCCTAGAGGTATTTCCTCCTATTGGGCCCGCCCAGGGTCCCGTTGTGGAGCCATCCTCGCACAGCGCCGGTTTTGCCGCTGAAATAAAGGCATTGGTCGAAGGTCTGTCGGGGAAGATTGCGTCCCTGGCAGGCCGGGTAGATCAAATGCAGTCGAAGCGAGCTGTCTCCAATGCAGCCTCTCAGCCGGCAAGCAGGAAGAAACATAGAAAGCACCGTTTGCATTCTAGACACGTCTCTTCCGGGGAACCCCCTGTTCCCAGCCGTGATCCCTCCGCTAACTTGGGGGAGGCCGAGGCTCAGGCTAGTGACACCGGGTCTCCTCGGGGACCTCGGACACAAAACACCAACGGGGATGCTGGTAGCCAAGACTCCGTTTTCGTCCTCCCCCTTCAACCAGCCAAGGTTCGCCGCGCAGTACCGGACTTAATAATTTACCTTCAAGTCCGAGCTCCACTGTGGGTTTCGACTCCCTTCTTGCCGACCCACGGGCATTCCCAGAGGGAACCAACCCTGTCATGAGACGCACTCTCGCCCACATTTTTAAGCTGAGAGGTGGCAGTTTGTTCGCGTCGGATACAGTGGGTACCTCGGGCAGTCCCTCAGAGTCCACAATGTGTAATGACTCAGTGAGCCACGCCGTTGGGGTGATGCGGAATATTATCAGTCCAGGTTATGTATATTCCCCCACCCTCGATCCTAAAGCAACCACTCACGGTCACTTCTACGCTGATGGGATCGCAGGCACCGGGATCCAGATCGACCCCACCGCACCAGGGATAATCTTTTTGCATAACCCCTTTCGCTGGACCAAACGCTACCCTATTGGGGCAATTTTGGATTCGGACCCCAATTCGTGGGACGAAACTAGAAGCCCCCCACCCGAACCCCAAGGCTCCTTCCCCAGACCCCGGTACCACAAATTTCTGTTCTGCTAACCGGGCAAAGGGGACGGCCGGGTTCCATGGTCATTCTCATCGACCTAGTCTGAGACTATCTAACACGCCCTGAGGGCAGAGTTGTGACCCACCAATTTCCTAGAATTCATGGCCGCCACACTGTTCGGCAAGGGATCAGGCTACGACTTAGTAACCCCAGTTATCCCCGGGGAAGCTCATCTCACGGAAGAAGAGAGACCCCCCCCCCCTCTTGGAACCGCCGAACCCATGGCCACAGATCCCTGTCGCACGCAAATTTCGCCGGTGCATTCCGGCTTGGAGGGTAACTGATCCCTGGATGCTCCAGGTGGTGACACTCGGTTACAGAATACCACTGACATCTCCACCGCCCCTGTCAGTGTCCGCCCCATTTGGGGGCACTGCCAGGGGATCCCCGCAAGGCGGAAACAATCAGACAGGAAGTAGACAGTTTGCTAAAAAAAGGGCGCCATACACAGAATAGTTCAGCCAGGCTTCTACTCAAATGTATTCATAGTACCCAAAGCTACAGGCGGCTGGCGTCCGGTTCTGAACCTAAACAGACTAAATCAGTATGTGCTTCTCGATCGGTTCCGCATGGAGACACCATCCAGTGTCCTACTCTCCATCCACCGGTTCGACTGGCTAGCCTCTTTAGACTTGTGAGATGCATACCTGCACATACCGATGCACCCAGCGAGTTGCCCTCTCCTTCGATTCGCCCACCTGAGCCAAGTATTCGAATTGTTGGTGCTCCCCTTCGGGTTATGCACAGCGTCCTACGTGTTCACCAAAGTGATGAAACAAGTTGTACTGCTGCTCCACCAAATGTTGGTACACATCAATCCGTACCTAGACGACTGTTTGTTACACAACCCAGACAAGGGGTTATTAGCCAGACAAGTAAGGCTAACGCAGGATTTACTCCACCAGTTGGGCTTCCTAGAAAATCAGAAAAAGTCCCATCCCGACCGACTCAACAGTTGGTGTTTCTGGGCATGGAGTTCAACTCCGAGGTAGGCCTGGTTCACCCATCTCAAGCGCATTGCCTAGCGCTAAGCAACCTAGCAGAACGCCTAGTCACCCTCAGTGTCCCTCCGAGAACTAATGTAGCTCATCGGAATGATGACCTCCGTTCAAAGGGTAGTTCCCCAGGCCGCTCTACGTAGCCGCCCGGTCCAACGCTTGTTATTGGAACACCGAGCTCACCTATGGGAACTAGACAGGCGAGTATTGATCCCGGACCAAGCGAAGGAAACCCTGTCCTAGTGGTCGTCACTGACCAACCTCGGGCAGGGGGTCCCCTTGGACCCACTCCAAGGGTGGGGAACGCATCTATTGGACAAACATGCCCAAGGAATATGGCCTCCGCAGTGGGTTTGGGACCACCATATCAACTGGCTCGAGCTGAAAGCAATTCGTGTTCGAGACCACAGAGTCCTGCTCCGCACAGATAACACAGCGGGGGTCTCCTATATCAACAAGGAGGGGGGACGCCTTCCCCATCGTTGTCGGCCCTAGCAGAGCAAATTCTCCTTTGGTGTCTGGAATACAATGTGGAGCTAACCGCACACCACCTTCCAGGGGTGAGGAACGGTCTGGCAAACGTCCTTTTGAGGCGGCCCCGTCTCCAGGACATGGAGTGGCAGATACCCCAGTGGGTAGCCTTCAGGCTGTTTCGGCTGTGGAACGATTCAAAAATAGACCTGTTTGTCGCACACCAGAACGCCGAGCTCCCGACGTATGTAACACTAACACTCCTGCCTACACCAGTAGCCTGGGCTGTGGACGCCTTATCGATTCCGTGGTCCCACATGGATGCATACGCCTTTCCTCCCTTCCCGCTGACTACGACTCGAAATGGCGAGCATACACTAATTGGTGTAGTGGAAGGGAGATTGATCCATGCCATCCCTCTATCGACCAGGTAGCAGACTTCTTTGTCCACTTGTTTGACGAAGTAGGTTTGTCCTACGCAGCGATCGTTGGCTACTCTTTGAGAACTCTTTGGGGTCAAGTCTAGCCGATTGTCCTATTATTAAAAGACTGTTTACTGCTTTTCATAAACAGAGGCCGAAGACCCATAGAAGGGAACCGCCCAATTGGGATCTGTCGGTTGTTTTAGTAGCCCTAGGCAGACCACCTTTCGAGCCCCTATTTTCAGCACCACTCAAGTTTTTGACGTGGAAAACAGTCTTCCTTCTGGCCCTCGCCTCAGTTAGGCACCGGTCAGAGCTAGGTGCACTGTCCTTCGCGAACGGTTGCACCGCCCTTATGGACGATCAAGTTGTACTAAAGATACGAATCAGGTTTCTCGCCAAGAACCAAATCCCAGGACACGATCCTCAACCGATCGTCATCCCCCGGCTGTCAAATATTGTCGGTCCGGAGGATCAGAAGAAATTGCTTCTCTGCCTGGTCCGAGTGTTGAGTTGCTACGAGAACCGTACCAGGTTTTCCAGACGGGGAACCAAACACATGTTTTTGTGTTACGGCCCTGGCAAACTGAATAAGCCGGCCTCCCCGACTTCCATCTCTAGGTGGATTACTGTGACTGTACTGGAGGTCTATAATACATTATCCTCCTCAACACAGACCTTGCAGAGACACCAAGTATGAGCACATGAGGTCCGTGCGATTGCTAACACATTCTGAGGGCAGGCTTCTGGAGAACGCAGAACGTCTTCATCAACTACTACCTAAGAGACACCCAATCTATTGAGCAGGGTCTCTTCAGGTTAGGCCCCATTATAGCGGGTCAGGCTTTGATTACCGACCCAGCCCGAACGACCACAGGGGTCCCTGCGCATAGGTGATAAGTCAGTCTCGGCATTCTTGGGGACAGATTGTCTGTACCACTAGCACTTCCTGTAAGCTCCCATGTTTCACCTTTTTTGACCTAAACCCTCATGCGA